TTTGCTCATTCCAAAATAAAAGGAATTAAACCTCCTGGCTGGCTCGCCACATTTTGTGTAGCGCCTCTACTCAGGACCAGTACACTCTCACTTCAAATAGAGACCCTAGACATCTTACTAGGTTCAGGAGGAGGTTTTGTTTTGGAACGTCTCAGTTCTTTGTTTTGGACTGGGAGAAGGCAGCAAGCCCTCGGGTGTCCTGTGGGGAGTGTTTTGGGAGTCTGGGATGGACAGTTTGGTCCTTGTGTGAATGCAGGTAGAGCTTGGTTCACACTGTAGTCAGAAAGCAGACCCGCTGCCTCTGCTCAGAACTTTCATGGACACAACTTCAGCTGCAGCCAGAAGGCAGAGCGTTCCTTTTTTTTGAGTCGTGGCACATTTTCTAGATTAAAAATATCCCATGGCACACCACCAACCAGGCTTGTTCCAAAATGACACACTGTAGCCTGATGCAGTACATATAACAGCAAGTTAGTCCTCAGTGTGAAACCTGGTCCTGACTAGATGAACACAAAGATGATGTTCTGGCAGGAATTGAAGACCCAAATTTAACAAAGTTTTGATGAAGTTTACGATGTGCACAACATCATCCAACACAGGAGCCAGGTCTGCTGGTAAAGTCTTGGCAGCCTCACGGTGCAGAAAACAGTGCGTAACAGTAACATCTGGGTGTTTGCTGCTCCGTCAGGCACTCGTGCAGTTTTCCCACTTCAGTCCTCTTTGTTCAAATATTCGGATGTAACCTGAAAAATTTCCTCTCCTGTTGTTTTCCCTGATGGAGTCTCCATCCACAAAACGCACATTGGCCAAGAGTTGGGAATGTCCACTAATGTCCGTAGACTCATCAAGCTGCGCTGCAAACTTCCCATTCATGCGCATCTTCTCCCAAACCACAGTTTCAATGTCTGCGGACGTGTCGTCGATACGTCTGAGGGTGGGACTTTCTTTAACCGTGTCAGGGCGAGCATCTCATTCACAATGGTATTGCAGGCAGGTAGTAGTAACGTCTCTGCATCTTCACCTTCGTGTTTTTTCTCATTAAAGTTACCTGTTTCTCAGCGAGTTCACGAACAAAATAGTCTGTGTTCTTGTTTGAGGGATGTTTTGTACGGAGATGACGTCAAAGCCTGCTTGGGACCACGGCACTGTTTGAGAGCTTCTCCCCAAAGACACCAGAGTCGGTGCAGTCGGATCTCCACTGAAGCTAAATTCAAAGGAAAGATAACTTTCGCTGTATTGCCTCAAAATCACAGTTTTTGCTTTCTTTCGACCACCGCTCGTCTTCTGATTAGAATTTTATCCAGGGTCCAGTTCGGAGCCTGCAGTTCTTCTTTTCAAATATTTATCCATCTTTGTTGTACGTCTTGCAGCTGCCACGTAGCGTGCACATCAGTAATCCTATTGGCTTAACTCAACAAGGTCATATTGTGCTACCCACTGACGTGAAAGAGTAACTGCTCTACCAGTCACCTCATTGAAAGCACAGATGCCCAGAAATGATTTTATTATTTCCAGTAATTATTAAATGTTTTTTAATTGAAGTTAAATAATTGCTCATAGGACACCTTTGTGTCACGGCACAGTGGATGGGAAACACTGCATTAGACGGTGACTTTTAGCTTGCGCTGGGGGTGTTCACAGCTGAGTGGGAAGCAGCAGGAAAAAGATCTGAGCTCAGTCAACAAGGGGAGGAGCGACCCCTCCAGGTCAGGGAGTTCAAGTTCCTGCCAAGCTGAGGTCTGTCAGTGTTTATCTTAACGCCTTGTGCACGAGTTAGGGAACGGAGCAGGAGAGTGACAGATCTGCAGCGATGCAGATGTTGTACTGTCTGCCTGTGGTGCTGAGTGTGAAAGCAGAACAGCAAAGAACAGCCGGTCAGTCGCTCCTGTGTCTGATAACGAGCTGGTCCGCCCGGTGGCAGGTCAAACAGTCACACACAAGCACGTTGTTTGCACGGAAGCACCTCATTCTAAAGGGAACCTTGGGGGGACGGGGAGCACCAAGAAAGCATTCTTAACAACAAACGTAATCGGACACCAAATCGTCCGACCCGGCTGAACATTTTACAGACGCTAAGGAAGCCAAAGTGGCTCAGAGTCGATTTCCTGTTGTCTGGTGTTGCAAACATGCAGCAACATGATGGAAACACGCGACATTTGTGTTGTTCCAGATGCTTTTGTTTGTTGAAGGAAAATATGTCAGCAGCTCATTTTCAGCTAGATTTTTGCGCCTCCGTCAGATCCTCTAATTTAGTGCAGTTTGGGGGGAAATTGTTGAATAAATATTTGTTTGCCTTGAAAAGTTTGTTTGTACATGAACTCATCAAAGTAGAATGCAGTCGGTGCTTCTGCAGTGGTAATCGGTGCCGCCTGAGGCGTCTGTCATGTTCACACTGCTGGCTCAGCTGAATTTCTCTGACAACTTTTTGTTTGTGTGTCTCCATTTGTGCCTTCAGACCTCCAACAGCAACACGTCTGTGAGGAGGAGGAGGTTCAGCAGAGGAGCCGAACACAGTCTCTACAGATTAAAGAGGAACAGGAGGAGATGTGCATCAGTCAGGACGGGGAGCAGCGTGCACAGAAGGAGGAGACTGATACCTTTATGGTGACTGTAACTTATGACGACAGCGACCAGCTCGGCTCTCGCAGCTCTCTTCTATACGAAAGCCGAGATCAGGAAGGAAGCGAGAGTTTCGATTCTACTTCAACTGCCACTAGAAACATAAGTCAGAGTAGCAACGCAGAAATCTTTCCCACATCAGAGAGTCAGTGTAACACCGACATAGTCCCCAAATCTCTAAAATGCAATGTTTGTGGAAAGGTCTTTAAGCCTTATAGTGACCCGTTAGCATTTAAGAGACACATGGCAGTCCACTCGGGCGAAAAGCCGTACTCCTGCAAAACGTGTGGGAAAAGTTTCACTAAAAATAGTACTTTACTGGGCCACATGAGAGTTCACACAGGGGAGAAGCTGTATTCTTGTGAAACGTGTGGGAACAGTTTTACTCGAAAAGGTA